TATATTAATTATTATGTATTTAATAAAATTATTAAATATTCTTAATTATAAATATTATTAATATATCTTATCTTCATTATCTTCTTATTTTTTGAAATTTTATTTCCTGAAAATTTAATCTATATGTTATAGAATATATACTTAGTAAAAAAATGTGAGGGATATTTTTAACAAATCCATCATGTTTCATTTTTAGAAAAATCAATTTACTTTAGCTACTTTATCTTATTTTATTAGATTTTATTTTACTTTATTTTATATTTTACATTTTTATTTTTGTAGTTTACACGCTTAAGTTTTCAAGAACTTTTACATAATTTACACATCTAAAATTGTTATTTTATTGCTTAATGTACCACTAAATTATATCAGTAAATAATTAAACTAATCGATAATATGTCAATTACAATAAGTTCTGGAAGCTTTATACATATGCATTTTAATATGCACATAGTAAATCAATCATCATTGATACATATTCTAAAATTAATCAATTATATTAATCTTTCCTAATCTATTCATTTCAAAGTAATTATTCTGAGAGACGTTGTATTTATGTATACTATTAATGGAATCATTACTTCAAATCAGAATAAATTATTATTTTATACATTAAATTTTTTATTCATATTACTTTTTACAAAAAGATATTTAACCCTCTGTCTGTAATTTGAGTCTTTTTTAGTACAAGTAAAATTATTCACTTTTAAATTTCTGAATAAAAGAATCTGGTTTCCCTTTTTAAAATTTGTTAAAAACTTGTCTGATAATGTAATAAAGATGTTAAAAGATACCTCTGAATTTTTCCATATTTTTTTAAAAGTTTAGGATAGTAAAAAACTTGAGCTTGCAATGAAGGGAATAAAAATATAATTGCAGACGGAGAGTTAATAAAATAGTTATAGTTTTTGGAAAAAAGTTGTTTTCAAGTTCAAACTTTTAACAAACATTTTGTAAATTTTATAAAATATTAATCTTTGTTCTAAAAATCACTCAACTGAACGACTCAAATAGCCGATTAATTTTACAAATAATGAATAATGTATACTCATCTCATGGCTTTTCCGTTGTCGGTCAACGATGTCTCTCCTAGGCTTCTTTCTCTTCTCAGGAATCTTCGAGACATAAATTCAACACGACACTAATGAAAATACTGTTAATCACAATTGCGCGCATATTAATTCAGAGTATAATAATCACGCGGCATTTGCATGACATTCTCAACGTAACCCGAACAACGTAACGCGATCCGCCAATCCCGCAAAATACGTGAAATATTATTAATGATATAACATGGCTTTCTGTTTGAATCATTCGACCCGATAGTTCGCTCTCAATTTGGAAATAGTATTAGAGAAATGATATTTAAATTGGCGAAAAATTCGGGACACGTCTGCCTCAATTTCTATTTTAAATGACTGAATCGCGCGAAACATGTCTGCTTCAATAAATCGACATTGTTAGCCGTGATGCCGTTATCGAGTTGCTAACCGTGAGAGTTAATCAATCGCGATGTTGGAGTTCGGTAATTGTTAATTGTTCATGAGGAACGATCGCGATTCGAAGGATAATACGCAACACGCGGAGCGGCTAGCCGTTCGCTCGAGTGTCGAAGGGCGAATGATAACGCGGCGACCTTGTGTACGCTACATCGCGCTTTGTATGTACGTTACAATGCAAACATCAAGGCTGCGTGCCAATCTATTTCTGTGAAGTATTTAACGTATTGGAAAGTAAATATACGCCGAAATATCGTGCTCTTTGTTTTTCAAATAGTGGAGCGCCAAATTTGTAGAATGTCAACGCTGGCAGAAAAAGGAGAATCGCATATATCAATTGATTCGTTTCATCACTATGAAATATTTAACAATAAAGATACGTTATATATTAAATGTACGCTGAACATTTTGATCTTTGTATTTAAAATTAATATCGTTGAACAGATTGCCATCGCTTATTTCTTGTGGATCCATTAGCGTCGTCGAAAATGATTAATTTTATTCGAGAAATTATTAGATTAAAATTGTTACTTAAATCTTAATTCAATTATGCTCTACAAGTGATTTTCATATAAGTGTTTATATATAACTGACTTTACTTTTTAATTTTTTGTTGTATAAATACATGTGTACCATATATTATCAACAATCAATTTAATTAATTAGTTACTGTATTTTAATATTACACACCAACTGAATTATCTGGTTAATGCAAATATAAATAGGTTATTAATTCCTTTAACTTAATTACCAGAAATTAATTTGTTAATATTAGTTGTGTTACATGTTATTTATAAGGAATCGAAGGATAATATGAACCGAAAATAGAGCATATCAATTATAAAAACTACGAAAATCAATAGTAAATGATGCAGTAATATAAGTACAAGTGCAATTACGAATACGCGAATTCTATATTAGCTACTTTCGATCGTATAAAATTGATTCTATCGATATTTTCTTGTTAACATTTTTTATTTTTTAAGAATGTAGTGTTATTCAGATTATGTAGTAATTACATATAAAATACATGAATGAATTTTATTGAATATTTGATTATACAATAGATATACAGATTTTTATTTTTTGATAATTTTAACAATCAATTTATTTAAAAAAAATGTTAAGATTATTATTTTTCATAATTCTTGAAAAATTTTAGATATTTCTAATAATTTTATTAAATTGCAAATAAAAATTTTGTTATAATAAAATATTTTTAAAAAAAGTAAATTTTTTCACAAATAAAACCAAATTTTTTAAATAATCAGAAAATGAAACAAGCCAATATCGTAATATTTTATCATTTTTACATATGTGTATGCGTATAAAAATAATAATAAATATATTTTAGGCCGGGAGTCGAACCTGGATCTCTTGCATTCCGTGCAAGCGTCCTAAGCCTTTGCTTAGTAATATTTTTAATTGGTATATGAATATGATATTACTATATATGATGTATGATATATATATATATATATATGATATGATATATATGTAAATTAATTCCTAAAGACTCCTTAATGATATAAAATTGTTGGATATAAAAGGGCAATAGGAGTCAAGCATGGTAATTTTTGTGCAAACTAATACGGTTAACAAAACAACTTTAATAATAATTAATCCGCTTACATGTTTCAGCTCACTTTTAATCCTCAGAGACAATATGATGTAATTACAAAAAATTTTTTTTACAAACTCATTCATTTCAGTGAGCCACTTCCATTTATTAACGGAAACTATAATATAAAAACGAACTCTAATAACAATCTAAAATGTATTAAAATTATTAAAAGATAAATTTGTTGAGAAAGAGAAAACAAAAACGATTTATTGTAAAATAATAGGAGATAGTAGACTAAAACAAAAATTCATCATATCGCAAACACTTAAATTCTAGCGATTTAGTCAAAAGCAGTCTTTGACCATTCAGCGAATAAGTGTCAATTATGTTGAAATTAATGAATAACTTTTAATACATTTAAAACGTTAATCGCAAAGAAAAAGAAAAAAAGAAGGGAAAAAAACTCTAATATTAATTATAGTCCAGATAGACATCCAAATCAAAATTGAATCTTTAATAATTTAAATGTAACAAAGAATATACATTGATTGATCAATCAATCTATAGCTTGTGTTGTAAAAAAGTTATGAGAACCATAGTATTCTGAAAGTGATCTATATGCAGGTTACCTTAGCGAGGATAATTGCTATATGGATGTTACATCCACGGCTGTTACATTTTTAGTTCCACTTAAGATCGGCAGTTTTTCTGCGAAAGATTTTACTATCCTGTCAGAAATCGATAATCAATATCGAAATTGCCAATACTAAGATTCCTGGTAGTGCATCTTCTAAACAAAAAAAAAAATCATCAAATTTAGCTCTCCTGGCGAAAATATTTTTCTAAAAACCGGAAGAAAGTTGACACGCGTATATAAAAAAGTTATTAAAATTTGAACTGTTAGTTGGAGAGTTTCCGTGTGCCGGAGATTTGGTCAAAAAGCCAGAGTTTCCAGTCGAAAGCCGGAGATGTGGTAAGCAGTGGTTATAACAGTAATGATTATTTCTAGGTCAGAGTTAAATCCTGCGCTTTGAAGCTAAAGCTCGCAAGATTAACCCCTTTCCATACACATTATAACGCGCGTTAAGCGCATATGTTTATAGAAACGTATTTGATTAGGATAGTCCATGTACAGACGTATATTTGACGCGCAGTAATGCATGCATTTAAATCAAGGATTATTCATAATTATTCACGATGTATTCGCAATAATATGCACAAAAAAATCACACACTATAATATACACTTTATTTTATATAAAAAATTCTTTGTGAATTGACAGTAATACTGCTGTTGTCTATTCTATTGTATATTGTTGCAATGAAATTGAACTCTTAGTACTGTGCCGTGCAACTGTATTATTCGAAAGGCAGCAATAAATCTTCAGTTAAGGCAACCATGTTTGAGAATATTCTAATCAGATGTTATTTATCGTGTAAGAATTACAGCTGTAAGAACTATTTATAGGGGCATATCTTAATAGCTATATATTTAATATAATATTAATGTAACGTGAATTCATATATATACATTTCTTTTTTATAAAGAATGTTGTTGTAACAACCAAAGCCAATATATTCTCAGTTTATACCAACCTAACCAATGTTTAATCAATGCATCGCCAATGAATTGTATTACTAATGTAAGATAGTATCTAATTTGATTAATGTTTCGTGATCTTATTCCTACAATTTCGCGTGCAATATTCCGGTGATGATGATCGCCTATCGTCGCTCAATTTTGCTCGTCCTTTCATTGCTTTCCTATCCTCGTAGGCAACGATGTTCCTCAATCATCGCTGATTTCGTGTCGGCAATCGGTGACACCGGGCGCGCCCGAAATACAATTCTCTTGTAAACGAGAACAGATATTCAGACCGAATACGAAGACTTGTGGTGTGCATTTTAATGAACTCGCTGTCCAATCTTGTTTTCCAGTGGCGTAAGTTCCTTCGGGAGGACAAAGAGAAGGAGAGGAGGAGACAGAGAGGAAGAGAGAGGGGGTTACAGGCAGCGGCGGTGGAGGCAACGACGGAAGGCACAGGGAGAGACGGCGGGGTGAACCGGAACCGGAAATGGCTGCGAGGTGGCTGCTACTGCTGGCGCTCCTCGCCGCCCACGCCGCGGCTCTTCCTGATTTCATTAGGATAGGTGAGTATCTTTCTCCTGGTGTGAAAGCCACGACCCTTTCGACCACATTCAATGGCGTCAGTAAAATTATTATCAATGTCTCGATCGATAATATCCACGAGTAAGGAAACGGTAGTACGAACTTAGCTTTTGAGATAATATTCGTAGAAGCTTTACGAATATTATAATCAGATAAAATCTTATTCCTTAGTTAATTTGAAGTGAAATTTAATTGTAGACTTAGTTATTGAGATAAATAATCGTAGTGATTAAAGCAAGTTTTTTTTTGACGTAAAAGCACTTGAAGTGATTTTCTCACACAAAATCTTGTTTTATTTATAAAAAAAAATTATAATATAATAGTTAAATTAACATTATTATTTTTTTATTCCTTTTTATTTATTATATCTCTTTTATGTTTCAATTTTTGTAATCATGATAAACTTTTAATTATATTTTTATTTAAATATATATGAAATACTATACTGTATATATCAAAAACCTATTTTTGGATAAATTATATCGCCTTATGTTTTCAATCTACAATTCTTGGTTTATATTCATACAGTTACGTATTAGGCAATTGCCAAATATTGTTAAACTATAACGACTCCGTGAAAATGTTTTGCTGGCCAGACAAATAATTGAAATTAATAGCGGCGATAAAAGGGTATGCTACTAACGGTGCTCTATTTAATTGGCATTGATGGTAGTGCAAGAGAAACACAGGCAACGTGACGCAGATAACATGCATTTTACCGTGTGCGACGACAATTACCGAAGTTCTGGCTGTTGCGCGTCAGAGAGAAAATCACTCTGATAGCAACCACGCGTGTACTGTTGCGCATGTAGCGGATATATAAACAAGAGGTATTTCACAGTTAAATGTCGCTAACCATCTGCCTGTGGATATATTGAAAGTAGCTGCCTCTGTGAACAGCAGATACTGATATAGCACATTCCGCTTACAAGTCACGAAAATCTGCAAAATCTCATGGTTGAAAATAACATATAAAAGAGATACATATTTTTAAAAGATTTTTCACACCCAACGACTGAACAATAATTTTACATATTTTAAATCGAAAAAAATGTTAAGAATTTTTATATGTTGTCTCGCAAAAATTTATATTAAAAAATTTTTACAATTTCTATTTATATTTTATAAAAATCAAAAGGATAAAATTAGCCTTTTATATAAATATTTAAAAAATTATTATAAATTAATAAGATAATTTTAATGCAATTTAGTAATAAATATAAAATCATGTTAAAATAATGTAATAATAAATAATTAATATAATAAAAAAATAAGATATAAATTTACAAATATTGACACTACTATGTTGTTTTATGATGCAAAATATTTTTATGCATTCTCTTTTTATGGAACCGGTTTTAAAAATATATTTTGTAATTTTGTCGCAAAATTTTTACTTGTTTTTACTTGAAAACCACAAACATATTTAAATTCGCGCGCAGGAAATTATGAGATCGAAAATTTTTATCGATATTTTCTAATAGAAAACAAAATCTCATTTACTTAATGGAAATTCTTTGTTATTGTACATGCTATCAATATCTAACAAAACAAAATAAAACAAAATTAATAATGTTATTGTTATCAGAATTTAATAGTAACAACATTATACTGACCACAAAGTTTCTATTTCGAAAATAATTGATTTACATATATCTGAAAAATAATTATAATTTATAACAGAAGTACTTTGCTTGCATATCAGCTTTTTGCAGTTTTGCAGTTTTATCTCTTAAAAATATGATGAAACAACAACAGCTCGTATATTTTACGCACATGCAAAACTGTCACGTCACTGTTTAATATTACGATTGTCATTTCTCGACGACGCGCGGATATACGCGTGGATGTACGTGATACCGAATGCCCGACTATACTCGGTGAACTTTTATCGAAACGTAAATTCAACGATGCACTCAATTTCCGAACGCTTTCTTTTCCAAGGTAGCGAGAGAGAAGCAAAAGCAGATCGATATACACGTCCGAGCTCAGGGAGATACGTGCTGTACTTGCTACGAGTTTTGATGCATTCGTTCGTACTACGTCCGTACGCTTGTTCCGTGTGGCATATCACCAATGCCGTGTATGGCCAATAGCTTTCTGTATCGGAAAACTGAAAAAGGAAAGAAATTTACGAAATAGTACAAAGAGAGACTAGAACGAGAGAGAGAAAACTAGAAATTCTTTTAGCTTACATTACGCCGATTGAATTTTAAGCGTTTCGCATTTCTTATTTTTCTAATTTTTCGCGGTATCTTTTTCGGTGCCAGTTCAATTCGTTCAACTTTCTTCTACTACTTCATTTTTATCTCCTTTTTCCATCGCTATTGTTAGTCGAACAATTACATCATAGTCTCTCTTTTTAAGGAAATTATGTTTGAAAATTGAATAGCTGATATGAGGAAAAATCTGAAAAGAATAAAAATCCGTTTTTGTTCTGATAAAAATATGTAACAGTACGATATACAAATCATTTTTTAATTTTGTTATACGGTTTAAACGTACACAAATGCCTATGCATAACAGATTATACATAAAATAGTTATACGGGAAAAATGTAATTAAGTTTGTAATGTACGCTCACAAAGCTGTCTTTTGCGCGCATGATATAACCAGGATTACAAACAATCTTTTGTTTTAGAACAGCGGCTCATTACGTGCTTTGAATTCAACGTTATTATAAACGGGAGCTGTCAAATTGACGCGAAAATTAAAAGCGGCGTGCGCCATAATCATGTATAGTTTTCGTGATTTATTTGAGTCAACCGGCCATGGCGGTGGAAAGTTCATTTAATCGCACGTATAATTAAATGGCGTGATTTTATATAAAACACTAAGAATGAACCTTAATATGTATTGTGGGAACAATTTAACATATTTATTGCGTTATAATGATTGTAACGGAAGCGACAGTTGTTGGCATTCTCAATCACTCTGTGCGAAATAATTTATTAGCGATCAATGAATATTTAAATTCATTTAATTTGATTGGGCAGCTGACCTGAAAAAAGGTAACGTTTAATTTATGTAAACGTTTATTTTCCAACGTTTGCGACGATTTTACGATCGATTGTCACATCTGAAATATTTATCGATATTTGCGACACAAATTCAGTTGATTGCTCAATAAGTCATTAACTACAAAATTATTATTTATCTCTCTCACTCCAGTTTTTCTCATATTTTGTAAATTGTTTTCTTTTTTTCAATTTTCCGATATAGAAAGTTATTGGCCATACATGGCATTGGTGAAATGCCACAGAATAAGGATATAAACGTAGTACGAACGAATGCATTAAAACTCGTAACAAGTATAGCATTATTGCGCGCTTTTATCACATTTGCTAGTTTCTGCTTTCTCTCCTTGACGAAAGTGTTACTGATGTACTAATTCAAAATTCCTATATATGAATCTGATAAAGAAATTGCAATGGATTTATTCTCCCACTGCGAGGACAATGTGTGTTCATCTTTCTTCATTTTGCGTTAAATTTTCAAACTATTCATATTTTCATTCTCATTTACATTATTAGGTTTATTATTGTCACAATGAGCGTAGCGAGTCGAGCGACGTACCTTATGAGGTATGCCAAAGAGAATCGATAGCAGGTCGCTAACGAGAGACGTAAATCTATTCCACAAATTCTATAAATCGCAGAGTCAAGCCGGTGCAGCTGCTCGTACAGTTACTTTATGACGTACACGAGATTAAAATCAATTTATGGCGCCAATTTCTCCTAACCGAATGAATTGGAAGGCGCAGAATTTTAGCGGACAATACGAAGAAACTGTCGCGAGTACTGATGTGACGCGAAATGATGGAAATGACAACGAATGGAACGAATGTGTACTCTCATATCTCTTTTCTCGATCAAAAAAAAAAAAAAATAAATAAATAAATGAATAAATAAAAATAATAAATCTGTGTTTACATATGGAAATTTTCGATCGGGATACAACTTTAAATACAAAGATATTTTACGAACTTTAATCCAATTTTGTTTCATAGCAGTCGAATTATGATTTAGCGCTGTTATTTCTTTTCTGATATTTTACTTTTTAAATCTTTTATTTTGTGATTTATTTGTACGATATTGTGCCGATACTAGATAAAATTTTTCAAGATTTTTGTTTTTATAAGAATCAATAAATTAATATATTTTTAAAATTTGTTAGAACTTATAAAAAGTATTTTTGTACTTAATATACCTTTTTCAGAATATTAATATAGTTTTTTGAAGTGCATTTATTAAATACATATGTTCAAACTTATATCAAAATATTCTTGCCAAAGACATTAGAATTATTTCGAAGACACTGAACATGTAAAAATGTAACATGTAAACACATGCGCATAAAATACATTGTACAGTGAAGTTACACGGAACACGGTTCTAGTCGGGATCATCTCACGTAGGTGTAAATAGACCATAAATCTTTATCCTGCTCTAGTGAACAGAAAACCGGGTAAATAGACGGTTGGATAAAGATATTCTGTAATGGTGCTCGTAGACAGAAAATAAGTAGTGCACGTGTGGATCTCGTCAAAGTAGCACCCTTTAATATGGATGCGTGATTTCCCAGGCGGGCTGTTTCATCCGTCGGACGACAAGCAGGAAGTGGCCTTTCGCTACGCCGCGGAGAAGATCAACGCCAACCGGGACATCCTGCCCAAGTCTCGCCTCAGCGCTCAGGTCGAGGTGATACAGCCGCAAGATAGTTTCCACGCCTCGAAACGAGGTGAGTTTCATAATTGAATCGGAAATACTTGTCGGATTATATCAGATTCTGTCACGCTTTGGGTGTTTCAAAAATTTTCTCGTGAAAATCGACTATTTTCATCGTCGCTCAGTGTCAATCAGTGTGATGTATTTTTTACCTCTATTTTGTTTAACATGGAAAATTGAAATTTACGTTGCCAGTTAGTATCTATCTTTAATTTTTTATTTCTTTATTGTACCGCACACCTAAGTAAAATATTTTTTAAATATATTTGAAATTAAAAAAAAAAGATATTTACATATGCATGTACAGACGTTTAGAATAGAAAAATATGAATCTTATGACTTTGCTTAGCTTTTTAAAATTTTGATTTAAATATTGTGCTGTTAAAGAATCCAAAAAAGATGCTTCTATTACAAAATTTTCTCTCACTTTAATTAAAGAAATGAGAAAAAGTGCATTAAAAAAATTCTTCTTTTATTAATAATGTATAGTTTAAAACTAAAAAAGTTATCAAAAAAACTGGATAGAATTACTTTAGTTAGCGATATCGATAAAAGTTAATCGATATTGACGAGTTAAGAACAACTTATGCTGTGCGAGCAAAGGACTACTATTTTGTCGAGAAACTTCGCGTTAATGTATAGGTGTGGTATACCGAATCGCACAAACTGCCTTGAGAGTTTGTGTGACTTGCTTGATGCGCGAAATAAATTCTATTTACACGATTAAGGATTCGAGAGATTGTCGCGTAAAGCTTCACTCTCGCCAATACTAGAACAGAGCTCTACCATCTGATTCCTGGTGTGACGATCCCATTCTCCAATACTAGCACAGCTTCCTAACATCCTTATCTCAGGCGAAGCGAAGCCTCTCTAACGCTAAATCTTGTTACTTGCAGTTTCGGCATGTCTAGTGCACCGCGTTCGTGAATCGAAGTTAGTTTTAACGTGCTAAAAATTTTACTTTACTCGAATATGTACTTTGCAACGTAATAGCGATAGCTCGTGCAAATCGACCACTTTTTAAATATTACATTTAAAAGTGGTACTTTTTCTTTATAAACTTTTTACTTGAATTTTTACATAGTTATATACATGTGAATTAGTATTTAAGTCGATAATGTAGATTATATAACAATTAAAAAGGATTACTTTTTTATAAAACCAATATTAAATTTCTTTTTATAATACAATATTACAGATGTGTATAGTTATATACATAAAATGTTCTATTACTGTCGTACCGTTATAATAGTAAAATATAATGTAAATAGTATGATTTGTAAATATTTTGAATTTTACACATGTGTTGAGATATTTCTTCCAAAGTGACAAGCAATTAAGATACAAACAGTGACAAATATTAAGATATAAGCAGTAATAATAAATTAAAGAAAATACTTCAGTATATCTAAATATTTGAATTTTTTCTTAAATATTATATGATTAATTTTTTTATTACTATTTTATATCATGTTTTTTTCATAACTGTCTGTCTCTCATATATTATTTGAAAGGCAACATGTGGTGATGTATGTACGTACATGAAGAATTGTCTCTTGATTCAGAAAATAGGTCACGAATTTCATTTCTGTGTTGGGAAAGTCATGGGGGAAAGTTCAATATGAAAATAATTCTACATGATATACATATACATATAATACAAGCCTGCGGTTAGTCGCTTAACTATACATATATGCAGCAGAAAATTAATAACGTCCAGCACAAAATAATAACTCGGTGGATATTTGCGCATGGAATTAACTAGGGCCAACGTAATTACCATGTCGAGTTACTAAATGATTAAAGCGAACGGCGCATTCTAAATATGCACACTAGAGTCGCATGCAGGCGCATCGGTCAAGCCGCGAATGTGTGCGAGCGTGTGAACCGCCGCAAAGCGCGCGCATAGGGGCCAGATAGCCGAATTTGGCTGTGCTCCAGCACGGTATTACACCGTGAAAGCAATTTTATTGATAAACTTCTGTTTGCCAGAAGTTAACAAATCTCCTTGGGACACGCCGATCGCTACGGCCGAGCTGGCCGAGCACAATCGCGTCGTGCATTCGGCGACGTTCGAATTCGTTGTCGTGGGTGATTCAAAAAATTTATCTCTCTCTGTAAATCAGCGGTGAAACAGCACAGTGTGGAATAACGAGCATTCTGTCGGACATGTAACTCAAACTTCGTTAACAATAGAGTATACTACGTTATAATAGCGAACATGAGATTCCAGCTTTGTTAACAATGGCGTATAATGGGAATATAATGCGATTTATGCAAGATTTAAGCTTTATGGATATACAGTAGGATTAGGAATATGATCTCGAATTCCAGATATTAATATTTTATCTAGATATTAATGTAGTAGACGTTATATATATATCGCAAGTCGAATAAGAAATTTGAATATTTTTAATAATTTAAGATGTAAATAAAACAGACAATCAATTTACGTATAATTAGAATATTTTGTTTAGAATATTAAATTTGATTGTTTTAAATTAAAAATCTTGGTCAATTTTATTAAAATATGTGAGTAGGAGAGACCGGGATCAATTGATTATAGGGGTAAGTAGAATAATCGAGGCTATATTAAAAACAAAATACGCGAGACATGCGTAAACGTGTCTGAATATGCAGCAGCGACTGCCTCTAAGTCTGTCGTAACATCTTGTTGCGAACACTATTGATAAAAGTTACACCACAATTTTAAAAAATCGTACACTAAAGTACAATAAATATTTTTATTCTTAAGATTTTTGTTTTACAATCGTATATGATTGACTGAGATATTTGATTTCTTAGATAGTAAGTGTAGTTCTTACTTAATAAAGTCCAACAGATTTTTTTTGTTTATGTGTCTTTGTTATCGTATATTGTTAATATTTTTAAAAAACGGATGGGGGATAGTAGACTAACCATAGAACTGTATCTTACTCACCATAGAACTCATTTAGTGACGACTCTTATAGTACTTACTCAAAATTTTATTTCTTTAAAGAGATTTTTCTCAGTGGTAAATGTTTAGTTCCCTCATATGCAATCTTGAAAACTAGGCTCATTCGATGTATTTTTGCACGAAATAAACAAATTTTGCAAAAAGCATTGTTTTGCCCTGTGAAGCGAATGTTTATGTTTAAAATATATTTTTAAAAAATTTATTTTTATAAAAGTTTTATTATGTATCCAAAGATGTAGCTTAAAATACATTAATCTTTATTTTATAATAATCTTAGTCGAATTATCCCAGTTCCGGGGCTAATTAAATCAGATGGAATGCATTAGAAAAATACATTTTTTCATATTAGTTATCAGTTTCCCCTTATTATTAAAATATTATTAGGTATTCAAATGTATATATAAATTCGAAATTGAAAAATGAGTCTATTAGCTCCGATCTCCCCTATTTAAAAATAAGGAATTACATATTTATCAATATGTAGAGAAAAGAAAGATGATATGAAGATATAAATGAAACTGTAAATAAGATAATAAATAGTTTTATGTCGTTTTGAACAAAATATAAAAAGTATGGAGATATTCAAAATTAAATCTACTCTATGCATAAACTGTATTATTTAAATATTGATAATAAATTTATTTCTAATATTGTACATATTATATATTTTACATATATATATATATATATATATATACATATATAAACCGACGTTATTCATTTATTTGGTTAGCGAAGTAATTATGCCACAGTCTCGCTCGAGACAAAGAAAGAGGAGAAAAGAAGTAGTACTGATAAACGGTTGTCTGCGACGTCGGACGCAATAGCGGGATAAATTAAATGCTGGAAATTCACGTCAGGTCTCGTGTTCTTCTCGTCGTTTAGGTTTCGTTCGCTCCAGGGCGATGAACCTCTTCGTTCGACAAACAGAAAGAGCGGATAGCCATTTGGACGGTCTCGCTTCGCGTCTTTTTATGATACGACGGAAAAACATTGGTGAATGCGGTTTGCCTTTGTTTATTTCCTACCTTTGCCATCGCATAGTTGTTGGTAATACAGTTTTACGATTTTGCCTAGCTGTGTCTCGAAATTTTTGGTAATACAGCCTGTCGTTCTCCATTGTGAAATCCCAGTTAGAACGGGAGTTAACGAGGACGCGCGCATTCGATTATGCGCGTCGTTCCACCGAGCCACGTAGAAAAAAAGCATACGGAACGACAGCGGCAAACAGTAGCACGGCAGTTCCAACAGAGACAGTTGTTGAGTTCGTTCCATATGCATTGCGCGATAATCTTTGCGAATAGAGATTTTCTCCAGTTCTTTCCATATATTTTTGTTAAAGCAAAGAAAATACTTTGCCAAGTAAATGAAAATAATATTCTTTTAACTATGAAAATGTTTACGGTTTTTACAAAAACTTTAAAAGCACAATAGCAAAAATTTTAATCTTTGTTTATATTTATGTAAAGAATATTTACACTTTAGTTTTAAAAATACTTATTAATTTACATTTATATGAAAGTATTAAATAATATTTAGAACCTTAAAGGAATTAAGAGTTCAGTAAAATATAATACTTTACTTAAATTTACAGTAAATATATTTAAAAGTTTGTATGTTAAAAGTTTTATGAAATTAGTATCAGTAAACAAATTTATTCATAATTGTAAGACAATACATACTATACACGGAGAGAATTTTAAATTTACCCTGAAAATATAATAGTTCTGATACAATATTTTAAAAATTTTTACTATGCACTTCAATAAAATTAATCAAAACTTATTTTATATTTTATTGTAGTTTTATTAATAAATGAGAGAGATTTACATTAAAATTTTTCGAAATACAATGTTATTCCACGACTATCATATTTTCAGGATAAACTCTAAGAAAAAATTTTCTCCGTGTACATACTATATTTATATTAACTTAGGAATTATAAGGATAATTTTTTCAGGAATAAAAATATGGTAAATAAATTAATATTTTTAAAGCAAAATTTAAGATATCGTGTTCACACGTAATATAATCTATATTATATTACATGCGGC